TACTCTCCATAGCTCCATCTTTCAGAAGTAATTTACAAGCAGGTTAGTGGCGAGTTTGGTTCTCTAGCATATGCCAGTGCCAATTTACCATCGAACAAAACGTAGGGGTTATTTGGTTATTTCATTGGCAATATTTTCGATGGCAGATTCTACGATACGTTCGATGGTAAATTGCTTACATACATAGATACGTGCCTGGATACGTAAACATTCACAGAAATACATGCTTACATACACAATCACTAATTTTTCTGAATTACCGACAAAGGTTAGTCATTTGAATTTTTTGGGGTATTGTATATGGCATCACTTAAAGTATCACTTCAGGCAACTCATTTTCCCTTCCTCTTATTGCTCGTCGTTTATAGGAGGTACTTTTTTCCAGGTATACCAAGTGATTTGTTGGGATAGACCGCAGCTGCAAACAATGTATTGCAGTATGTGCACCGTTTGGACCACCGTTTCCGAAATGCTAAAACATCTGGTCACTAGCGAACATCGCATTCATTATCTGGTTAGTTGAAAGAAGCTTCAATTTCCCATGACTGGTTTTTGGATTGTGTTGGAATGCGATTAGTTTTTTCGCAGTTATTTCATTTTTTTTTTTTGGCGATAAGTGCGATGGTTTTTTTTTTTAACTGCGGGTACGTCAATTCTGTTTGCATATATCTTTTGGATGATATCTGTTCATTTTTATTGAATTATTGAACTAGACAATGGCTGACAATGACTATTTTTGTGAGCCGTTTTTATTTTCTGGGGGGGTTTTTTTTTTGAAAAAATCCACTCTTTGTGCTGTTTCATCGATGCATGTTGTCAGCAGCTCATGGTCCGGTTTTTATCCAACACTCTTTCCATCGGCACATTCGCCACGCACGTTTTGGCCTTCTTTAAGACTCTGCAACTCTACTTGGTGCTTCTGAAAGCTGTGAAACAGTATATGCAGCATGACAGTTGGTTGACGAAATATGAGCTTTTTGTGTGCCCTGCGAATTTATTTGTTTTGGTGTTGACGAAGGCTGTACACTGGAAGAGTTTATGAGCCGTCGTCGCCTCGGCTGTGTTTGTTGACCGAAAAAAGCTGCTTTGATGAAGTGGATGTTGATTTGAAATGGGAAATTTAACGCTTTTGAAAATTAAAACTTTTTAACGGCAGTTCATTGAAAGGGAAAGTAAAGGCTGAAGCGCCAGCCTTGTTGCCATACATGATTGGCATATTTCAAAGGATTTGTCTACAGCGAAGAAGAGAGTGACCGGAAAGCCTTCTTTTACTGGGCGATCAGAAACGACGAGCAATCTCTCTCGACTTGGAAAACATCGTAGAACTTTTCTTGCAACTTCCCAGCTGCATCATTTGGTTACCTGTCTGAAACTCTGCATATACAAGGTCAACTACCATTAACGCACAGAAAATGGTAGATAAATTCGCTTTGGTTTATTTGGAGTTCTACCTAATCCTGAAGAAAATGGTACTTGTTCCTGACTGCTGCTATGAAGGAGATTAAATGTTGGATATTTTTATGGAACTGCTGTGGTGCTCTCGAATCGAAGCTCTGTGTTATTTTTCTCAGCACCTGTGGTACTCAGAAAAAAGTTTTTTCCTTTTTTACTTTCTTTATGGGGAAAGAGTACTTGTAGACAGTGCAAATGAATGGCACACGTTTACAGCTATCACCCATTGCAACCACAAAGCGATCTGCAGCCTTCTTCGAGAATTACTTAGAAACAAGATGAGGCGGTGGCGGTTTTGACTCTCTGGCATCGATCGAAGCAAATGAAGGAAGAAATGGGTTGTCCGAACGGCGGAGTGGAACCCTTGGTTTTTTTAACGCGGCAGAAAGAACCGCTTGACTTTGAACTTGCATTGTCATCATGGCAGTAGCAATGAAATAGAAACAGAGAGGTCATGGAAGGCCGAATCAAAACTGGGCGGTCCAACAGTGCCGCCGAAGGCGATGAAATTGTAAAGTGGTCTTTTGCGATCGTTGGTAGACCGAAGCATACCATCTGAAATAAACTTATTTTGAAGAAGCTTATTTTGTATCTGGACTAGTAGTACGTGAAATGATTGACTGAAACAAATGAAGCTATCATAACGATGTACAAAAAAATTTATATGGTTTCAAAATCCAAAATAGGAGGGCGCTGAGGAACCGCTTCAGTTAGCGCCTTGAGAAATCCAGCACGATTCCTACGTTGATAATTTGAACAACTGCTGTTTCACTATTGTACAACTGCGTTGTTGTTGTTGTTGCTGCTGCTGGTAACTTTTTCATTCTCCCGGTTTTCGAGTTTCACCATACCCACACAACTCATATATGTAAATCTTATCAAAACAAGGCGCTGAGGATTTCTGACGAAGGATTTTTATGCGTTTTTTGCAGTAATGCAATGCAAAAAACGCATATTGACGAGAGGTTGTCTGTG